AATATAAAGGAAAAATTCACCTGCAATCAAATCTCTCCTTCGTTCACCTGTAAGAAAATTAAGTGAAAATCTTATCTCCTGCTATTTAAAATATAAAAATAGCTCTAACAAGACGATCCATTTGTTGTTAGATAGACAGATAAAATCGAAGAAAAAGATGGATTGAGTGTATACTTCTATGTGTCTTGGGCTTGTTGGTACACTGAGTTCCACTTTTATTGGTGTCTAAGCTGCAAATATTTCCTTGAGCTTCACATTTGCCACAATATGGTTCTGACCATTTCAAATGGAGATCGTGTTGACGTAGTTGATACCGTGGAACAGATGAAATTTCATGAATCTTGATACATGAAGTCAAATCATAGTCGTCTGAGTGTGAATCGGAAGGAATGTAGTATACTTGGTAGCCGGGGACACCAAGACAAGGAATATTATTGCGATCCATCTCTCTTTTCGCTGGAGTACAATTGAACATGACGAAGTTGAACGATGCATCATTAACGAATTGGAAAGGGGAAGCTGATAAATGAAGATGCAGAAGCTTTTTAGGAAGACATCCATCAAGAGCATGTAGGTGAATTTCTTGAGATGCATAATCAATTTTCTTTACTTCTACCTTGACTGCAGAAGGCAGTTCCAGCACAGTCTTGCTCTCGTCGCAAGACAAATCGAAACCTGGATAGCCACAATGTTCTGGCTGTGGAATTTTTTTCCTGAAAGGAAACCGAATGGTCGGGCCACCTTTACTGCACCTGGTTGTTGTACAATCATCTAATCCTACTACAAGCATTGGAAAGAACAAAAAGAAGAACTTGTAGCAGATGAAGATGGACATTTTAGTCCTCAAATTCATATATTTTTTCTGCCTCTGCCTCTTCCTCTCCTATCAATGTGATCTTAGATAATAAATTTTGATCAACAAAATTATTTTCATATAACTGTTGAGCAACAAAATGCTTAGTGGTCCAGGCTTTTCCTCTTTGTAGTTTTCATTTGAATTGACTGCATTGATTAGCAGGAAGCATCACAGAAACTTTTAGGCAAGACTAGACATGATGACAAAACTCTATTTTGACTTTTCTGATGATTAAAAATTCCATGGAAGGAGGAGTCAAGCATTCACACTTGATGGAAAAAGACTAGGCTTTCCCTATGTAGTTTCTATCCACATTCTCGCGTCAATGCCAATTTATCTTCATTAAACATTGAATAAATCCCTCCCTCAACATACACACACAGAGACCAGAAATCTTGAAAGCTATGCTTGGAGAAACCTTCCTCCTTGAATGTTTATCTGCCCTGATCCTAATCCAATTACTTCAAACATCCAGCGCAAGCCATAACACCCAATGCAACCCTTCTGCCTGTGGCAGGATTCCTAATATTAGCTACCCTTTCCGATTAAGAGGGGATCGAAAACACTGTGGCCATTCCAGCTACGAACTAGTTTGTGAAAACAATATTACCTCACTTTATCTAAATTCCCACAAGTACCATTTGCAAGCCATCAATTACCACAATTTCACTATTCGTCTTGTTGATGCTGCCTTAAAAAATGACACTTGCTCCTTTCCTCAGAATTCTCTATTTCAATACAACTTCACTAATAATTTTCCATATACAATCTCCAGCTACAAGCAAAGAAAACCAAGAATATTAGCTAAAGTAGCATTGCCTATTACTTTTGTGAGCTGCCCATATCCCTTCAATTCTTCTGTCTTTTCGGAAACTGCTCGTTGTAGCCACAAGGTCTATGCTTTCAATGATTCCAATTCATCAACCCGAAGATACACGTATGTTAAGGCTGGTGATTTGAATGTAACAGATGTGAGAGATATGTGCAGTATTGATCTCATAGTGATGACATCGTGGCCATTTAAGGATGCGAATAATCTTTCGCTTTCAGAAATCCGTGGCTCTCTGCTATATGGATTTGAGCTTTCTTGGTTCACCGTGACGATTAGCGATTNCTATATGGATTTGAGCTTTCATGGTTCACTGTGAATAGCAGCATTTGCAAAAAGGAAAAATCTTGCTATATTGGTGTTGATGAAACAGGATCTATCCAGTACTATAGTAAGTCATGAATGGTGTTGAAATCAGTAAATTTCTCACATGAATATCTTCAAATCATGCACTGTTTCGATTTCCCATGACAATTTCCTGGTTCTTTCATAAAAACCGTTTAACTTGATTTTCTTCGTAATCTGCTTCTATTTCTTTATCATTTTACTTGTGATTATTAATATGTGGAGTTCGAAACATCTCACCGTGCATATATATATTGGTCTTAAAACAAACAAATCATTCTTTTCCTCATATGTAAAGTTTCTTTAAGCTCTTATTCAAACAATTTTTTTGGCTGTTGAGAATGTAGGCATAGGAATTCCACGGTGGTCCAACGTAATTTACTGTAAGGAATCTTTCACTCTCTTGTTTCTTTTTATTTAATTATGTTAAGTTGAAAAATATAGGCTTGCTATTTTGCCTTTTTTAAAGATAGTCAAATTACGGTGAAATGCTTAATTTTTTGTCAGCTAACGGATCTTTGGACGAAACTGTCCAGATGTCCTTTTACTACACATTACGTCTTCAGCCACTTAGAATCTTCCCTCTCTTGACTCGTGCTAACTCCTTGACGCATCTTACAATTTCAAAAATCGATGTTATGAAAATTTTCCATCACCTGCAAATGCACATTTCCATATATAGTCACTCACTAAAATTACAACCAAAAAGTGCATAATGTGTATTGATTGGCATGTCTATATAAATTTCATAAAATTACAACCAAAAAGAAGGATATATTAGTCATTTTACCATGAAAAACAGTGAAAATGACGGTTTGCGCAAGGAAACGTTGAAATAAGGGCGAAAATGCAAAAAAATGGAACATATGGACGTTTTCCACAATAAGGGTCAAACGTAGGGACATTTTGCACTATTAAACCCTTCCCAAGAGTTAGAACCTTTTATTTGAGTCTCAACTATTCAAAATGTCACATAAAATTTCAACAAAAAAGTGCATATATGCGTATTGATTGGCATGTGTGTATAAATTTCATAAAATTTTCAGGATTTTAATTTAAAAAAATGAAGAAATTAAAACAATATAATCTTCTAAATGCAATGTTGTATTATTGTTATAGTTACAAGAAAACTAATACAATCCATAAATAGCCATAGTTTTAAAGCCATTTCACATCTTTTTTTTTTTTTCCTTGGTCTTACTATATTAATGATTTACTTTCAGGGATCACGGAAATTTTCGGTTATTATTGCACACGTAAGTTCTTTTCATTTCAATATATATCTTTTCATTGCTGTCATGTTGCTAATGTGCTGGACAAAGAAAAGAATTCCTAAAGAATTATCATATCTTTGCTAATTAATTTTTTCATTATTCTTCTCGTAATCCGTTTCGATTTCCCCTGACAATTTCCTGTTTCTTTAATAAAAACCATTTAACTTGATTTTCTCCGTAATCCGCTTCTCTTTCTTTATCATTTTACTTGTGATTTATTAATATGGGGAGGTCCAAACATGTCACCGTGCGTATATATATTGGTCTTAAAACAGACAATAAATAAATCATTCTTTTCCTTGTTATATTATATATAGTTCAACTTCAACATGCTTACATGTTAAGTTTCTTTAAGCTCTTATTCAGACAATTTTTTCGGCTGTTGAGAATGTAGGCATAAGAAGTTCACGGATGTCCATGGCATTTGCCGGTAAGGAATCTTTCACTCTCTTGTTTCTTTTTATTCAATTATGTTAAGTTGAAAAATAGAAGCTTGCTATTTTGCATTTTTTTAAAGATAGTCAAATTACGGTACAACGCTTAATTTTTGTCAGCTAACGGATCTTTGGACTAAACTGTCCAGATGTCCTTTTACTACACATTACGTCTTCAGCCACTTAGAATCTTCCCTCTCTTGACTCATCTTACAATTTCAAAAATCGATGTTATGAAAATTTTCCATCACCTGCAAATGCACATTTCCATATATAGTCACTCACTAAAATTACAACCAAAAAGTGCATATATGTGTATTGATTGGCATGTCTATATAAATTTCATAAAATTACAACAAAAAAGAAGGGTATATTAGTCATTT